ATATACAGCAGAAGAGATGTTTAACTTACAAACACGTCGCAGGCAAGAAGATATTCATACAACGGTTTGAAGTTAATGGAATAATTCATGTGCATCCACTGTTCTAGGAATGTAAAATCTGAACTTATTTGAGGCAGCTGAGAATAACTCAAATGAAAATAAAAATTAGCCACGCTTCTACGTGAAGGAGCCACGTAAGACTCTATTTCAGCAAAGATGCTCACACGGCTCCTGAAGGGCACATCTTCTGAACAGTTCAAGAGTAAAGTACTGCTCAGAGTGTTGTCAGTTTGTAGAGAACAGAGCGTTGCTTTTTAGCAACCATTCTTATTCACACCGAGTAATTTGTTACTCCGTCACCAGTCTCACCAAAATGGATAGAATCGCTTCTGAAGAACTAGAGGTGGGTGGACGAGCAGTATCCGCCCCTCAGTGGAAAGTGTTCTGTGTGGATGCCGAGAAATGCATTGAGATATTTACCTTGGAGAGAGGAAAACTTATATAAAAGCTGATCCTAATAAACATGTAATGAGCAACTGCGGAAATGAAATTGGTGAAAGGGTATGAAGAGAAAATAAATAAAACTAATAGCAGCTGCTGTGTTAGGGGCTTAGGTCTGTTGAAAGTATGGGTTTATGTTATTTGAGAAATATTATAAGCCTTCTAGATTAAGCAAAAGTCATGTGAGGGAGGGGAAACTGTGAACTTTCAGTTAAAGATTTTGTCAGGATGCATGGGCATAAAGGACATAGGGTCGTGCATGCTACCCTGATTCTGGCATTTCCTAAGATTTGAATGTCTGACTTTGCAATCTTAATGTTTCTTTGAACTGTTTTGTGTGTGTAACTATTTACATAGTGACCCAAAGCACACGTGACACTTTACAGAAAATAGAGTAGAACTGTAGTTGTCAAGTGTTTGCAATCTAAATTTATTTAAGTCACAGCAGGAGCTAGTAACAAACAGTAGGGGTAACTGTTAAAAACATACTGCTTAGTGCTTAGGTAGCTGTGGTAACCATAGTATGTTCCTAAAAGTAGGTAGGATTTAGGCAAAAATACTACAATTATAATGAAGCTGGGAATGCTGGGAATCTATTCTGGCTACACTGAATGCACGACTTTGTATGGTTGGGTTTGTTATGGTCAAGTCATAAAGGACATGCACAGATTTTTGAAGATGCTGGCCCAGGCTTCAACAGCCTGAGTTGGTTCCAAGTTTACTAACAAATTTCTTTTGATATGGTAAGTCATTTAGGGCCAGAGTTTTCAAGGGCCCTGAAACAAATAAAGATACAGTGAGGCACTTTTCAAAATGAAAAGTCTCTACAGGCAGCCGTGGGTGCCTCAGTTTCCCATTTGGACAGTAGATACACTATTAGTTTCTTGTGATATGCTCATACTGGTTTTTGCATTGATAAGTTCTTTAGGGATGGTCTTGTTTTTGGATTTTCAGTGCCAAGTGTGAAGGTTCCCTGGTTTGGCTCTAGGTTAAACTTGGTTGGAGTTTCTCATGCTCCTAAAATACATTGCCATTATGGAAGATACTGTGGTCATTATGAATTAGAGAACCTTTACTTTCTTGGACTGTTTGAACTCTTGTGCATCAGCTTACTTAAGAGGTGTTATTTCTCACAAACTAAATGTCAAGTGGTGCATCTTTCAGTGTAACATGGGCTTCCCTTTTGCTCCTAATAACTTGTCAGAGATATGAAAGTATGAATTCCTTGACTAGTGAATCAACTGTATAGAATATTTTGGTCTCACGACATTCGGTTTGTTTCGTTGTTATTTTATGTGCATTATATGCCTTTTCTGTGTGTACCATGCACCTGCAGGTTGTCATGCAGTACAAGAATACTTCTGGTTAATGTGGCATTCAATTAAAAGGAAGATCAGGGAACTGTGTGATTGATTGACATTGTGGCAACAGTATGTGTAGTGAAAAAACAGGCCCTTGGAAGATTGTATCTGTATCATCCAAACTAACATCATAAAGTAGATGAGAAGTTACAAGGTGAAATTGTAGCCCATAAGATCTATTGGGAATTTTCTAAGGATTTAAAATACAGTTTTCACCTTTAGGAAATTAGAACTGAGAAAAGGTAATAACGTAGAAAGACTGTCAAGTGGAGAATCTTGATAGCTGTGTACATTCTTAGATTGTTGAAGAGGTATTTCTTTTTATGGACATATGTCCATTAGCAGAACAAATTGAAGGGTCTGGAAAACAGTTCTGATTTGCAGTCCATTATGTTCAAATTAGAAATGCAGTATCGAGAAGTTACCATCCAGAAAACATTGGAAAGTATGTAAGCCATATAATAAAAGTCATTAGAGAGAAGTAACTGACATAGTAATGGCTTAGAAAAAAAAAAAAAGAGGGAAATGCCCTTTGTGCCCTTCATGTAAAACTCAGGAGGGCCTGTATTTGGTGTCTCTTAAAACAGTTATATCCCAGCAATTCTAGTTAATAATAGTAAACATAACAAAAGTTAAGATGTAGTAGTTATATGAGCCTTAAAAACGAAGAGTCCGTAATTTGCATTGTATTGTGTCAGGTAATGGGATTAAAATAAACTAATGTTTGCATTTATTTATATTTAGGAGAAAATGAAGTGTAGCTGTTTGAGTGCTGCTACATACATTCCATCCTGGAATGAAAATCACATTGTTTTGACTGCGTTATTTCTGTATCCATGCAAACCATCTTCATCACTCTATAGTTCTTACCTCCTTAATGCAACCGGGGTTGTGTCATTTGAAATTAGTGGGTATAAGGCCCCTTGGAGAGATAAAGAGGAGCAGCAATTTGAAAAAAATGAAATGCAGCAATCAGAGTTAAGAAGAAAGGGCATTTTCCTGGTAAATGTTTTCCTAAATGGGAATTTTTCAGTGTGGTGTTTTGCTCGTGTATTTGGCAGTCACTTGGAATCAAGTGCAGACTTGTGCTACATTGTGGGCTTGGCAATGACAATTTGTGTGTGTGTGGTGCTTTAGTTATATTAGCCCTGGAGGCAGAGTTAACACTTGCAGTGGGACAAGAGTATTTGCAGTCATCAGAGAACTTTGCAGTCAGCTTCAATAACATCACTCCATTTTTTTCACTTTTTTTTTAACATTTTTTTTGGCAGCAGAGCTCTTAGTAGAACCATCTGTCTTTCTATTAGTGTTTTTGAGTCCTGTTTTGAAGCTTCTTTGCTTGGCAAAGTCACTTTCATCCTTGGAAACCATTTAAAAAAAAAAGTTCTGTGGCTCTTTGCCGAAGAAGAGTACTATGCAAAAATTCCACACGGCTGTTCATTTTTGTTCTAAAAGAATATAGTTACTTTGTCTTTGTCTTTAAAAAAAAAGCAAACCACAAAACCCCAAACAAAACAAACAAAAAATAAACACATGAAGATATTGGGCTGTACTAGGATGACTGAGTGGGGATAGAGAACAAATCACATTTTATGTAATTTTTTTCTCCAGCAATCCAGCTGAAAGTATGTATGTCTTACAGTTAACAAGATCAGAATAGAAAGGAAAATACTGAAGTAACAAAAAATGGATCAAGCTACTTCAGTGACTGGAGCTACATCTACTCTAGCTTCAGTCCCAATCTTAATCTCCCACTGCAAGAATTTCCGTCAACAGCAATCTTGAACTTCATCCCTGAAAATTATTTCAGACTATAAAGATACAGTCAGCACACACAGAGGTGTTGACAGGTCCTGGCATAAATTAAGAGGTTATCATCCCAAATTTCGTATCATTCTTATGCCTTGTAGCAGCATTGGGTGAACTGAGACATCTCCTGGATTTTCAGGAGATTAAATTAAAATCAAATTAAGTGCAGATGCTGTGGTCTGAATTGTGGCAGCCAAGGAGCTCGTGCTGGTTCTCTTTTGCCAGTTCTGCTATGCAGGCCATAATGAAGGGAGTAACACCTTCTCATGCCTCTGCTCATAGCAGGTTGTGTATCAACACTCTAATTCTCCTAGTTTCTTAAGGCTGTGGATCACAAACTGAACTGCAGTCTTCGATAACATATCTGCCTCTGGTACCTTAGCTTTACAGTGCCATCAAAAATCTAGACGAGCTCTCTTAAAACTTGAGTCAGTCTCCCATTATTGACTGATCTGGTCAGTACAGTGGGGTTTTTTAATTATAACTAGTCATTTAGCATTTTAATCTAGAAAACTTTTTTGTTTCTCATCTCTGCAAAATACAAAGACGATGTCCATTTCTACCAATTAAAACCTCTGACAGAACTGGGTAAAAGCAATAGTATTAGATGTTGTGCCATGACCAAACTCCAGTTTTGATGACTAATTTCTGCATGTCCTAAGTCCCCTGCAGTATCCACTTAATATAATATTTTCCACTTCCTGACTTGCATGGTTGTGTACAGTTGCTGTGCAGAGTTGAACAGCTAATGCTTCAGACATAGCTGTGTTTTATTTCTGAATAAAATGTCTCAACCTTTTTTCTTACCATCTCAGAGACCTTATCTTACACCTGCACAAATAAGTACGTGTGTATGGGCAGAAAAATAGTACTGACTGTGCTGTTTGCTACTTATGCACTTGTTTTGTACTTCTTAGAGGAATGTCTTTGTGTTTGGGCTCAGTCAGGGTGAAAGCTACTGTCTGAGGCAGAGATAGTGTTACACAGTGCAATAAAAGAGAAGAAAACACCACCCTACATCAAAGATAAGAGAGTCATCATGGGGGGGGAGGGGGGAGTAATTAAGTGGGATATAGGTATGCATATGTGTGGAACTATAAATGGAGGTATATGGATACAGATATGTGGAATCTTAGTTTATTTTGGATAAATGTAACTCCTGTGAAGTGTTTGGTGATCAAGATGAAGCTGAATAGTGGATGCTACTGGGACACCCCGTTACAGAGAGGCGTATGCCAATCTGACCTCAGAGCAGAAGTAAAAGAAAGGGTGTTAGCAGACATTGTATGCAGGAAAAATTCCGTGTTTGATTCTCCCTCTCCTGTTCAGCAGGTCCAGGGTCAGCTGCCTCCATTAATGATTCCCGTATTTCCTCCAGACCAACGAACCCTAGCAGCAGCTGCACAGCAAGGATTCCTTCTTCCTCCTGGTTTCAGCTACAAAGCGGGATGCAGTAAGTCCTGTAAATTTTTTTTTTAGCTGGAAATGGGTACAGAGCACAGTTTCATGCCAGTCTGTATAAAAGTATCACCTCACTGATGGACAAAGCCTTTAATTTGCAGAGATGAGGGTGAAACAGAGGATTAGTCGTTACCACATGAGAAAAGGTTGTCAGAGATGAATTATGTGTTTCAACATAACAGCAAAACGTTTCACACAGCAGGTAGATTTGTGCACCTTCTCTCTGACAGGTCTTTTTGACAAGTGAACATGCTCATGACCACAGATACGAACTTGAATCTGAAGAGAAGCTATTTGAAACTTCCAAATAAATTTCAACACTGTTGTAAGAAAACATGTTTTTTCCTGAAGCAGCCTGCTTACTATTTGTGAACTGAGGGCCTATTCTAGTCTCTTTCTTCACACAGAACTCACATTAATCTCAACGGGGGTTCTGCACAGAGATCAAAGATAGCATATGCCTTTCAGTTTGATGGACTAACACAAACTATGAGTGTATTTATGAGAGCCTAGCACTAAAAAATACAGCATCTATTTTTTTAGTCTTTGAAAGATTTGTATTGTTCTCTACAATCCCCAGATTTTCTTTTTAATTTTATTTAAGCCTTCTATAGGATTTCATGTTCCTGTCAACAGGATGATAATAAATACAAGTTAAGGAATAGTCGAGGAACTGTATGTCCATGAATAGACTTAGTTAGAGCATGAATTTCATGGACTTGCTTTCATATTTGTGCTTATGCAACTCTTCTGCCATCCGTTTCCTACTGAGTTATCTAGGACTTGCTTGTTCTACCCTTCTCTGTCTCTAGCATGGATGTTTAGCTTTATTATATCCATGTCAGTGTATGCATCTGTGTCATTGACTAACGCATGAATTCATCAGGTGTTTTGAATTACTCAGCACTTGCCACTGCAGCTGTTTCGTAAACTTGGAACATAAAAAGATTTCTTTAGTTAAACTGGCTTAGCCACAATTTCAGATTTCTTTCAGTTTCTGAACATTGTAGATCTTGAGAGCGAACTGTTGTGTCTTTGTCCTCTAGTACCTTTCCCTAAGATTGTACAGACTGGGACCACTACTGAAAATTATTGCTCAAAACACTTCATGTCCTTCAGCAGCTGCAGTGCCAAAATGTAGGCTCATTCAGTTCTTCCAGTGATTTCACATGCAGTCCCTCTCAGCTGGGAGAAGTAGTGATTCACATTACAGAATGCTTAACTGAAAACCACACTGACTGTGAATGCTACCATAACTGTAGGCCTGGAAAAGGTCAGGAAAGCACCCTGTTAGATATATATGGCAGATTAAATTAGTTCCAGGTTAATGAAGTCCAGTTTGGATAGAAAGAGTTGAGATGGTTTTTTTCCCCTTCTTTTTACTGCATGCACATTAACTCTTAAGATAGACCTATAGTTCCTCACATCTATGAAGTAGATATGACATTACATGTTTGTGTAACCTTGAAAATGAAAAAGAAAGAAAAAAGAGCAAAGTTGCTACTGCTCCTGGCAGTAAGGCTTGGAATTAACTGCATGCCAAGGTCTAGGACTGAGCAGAAGCCAGTGGAAAAACAGCTCTGTGTTTGGTGATTCCCTGGCACGTTTCACTGAATTTGACTGAGAAGCTGAGGAAAAGTGATAAGTAGTCCAAAGGATTTCTTCTTTTCACTCACAGTTTAGTATAAACAAAAAAGCATATACGGATTTAGCTACACCTAGAAAGCTTGTAGCAATGAAAAACCTAGCTGCCTTGAAACTACATGTTCACATCAAGTAATGTTTTTGACAGACCATTAAAATATATTTCTCCCCCTTTTCTGCTTGCCCTACTGTGTATCAGTCCACTTCACAAAGATGTAGTACACTGTAAACCAAAGAGCTTTGGATAAAACTTTGTAAAGCACCTGAGAGATTTAGGAGACCAAATCTTCACTTGAAGAGTGACAGAGGCACCAGGATCCAAGTCTCAGGGTTATTTAAGAAATGCTTGTACTGTAAACTTCATGCTATCTTGAACTGAGCCAAGTGGGTACCAGCACAGAACTGCAACAGGGAACATGGAGCAGATTAATTTGCTCAGCTTCTGAACAGGTTAAATACCTAACTTCCACTGAGTTTGCTTTTGGATGCAAGGCCTTCCTAGGAACTTCACAAGACCCCTCTAGAAGCATCTTCACATGACTGCCATTCTGTGTTCTAAATTTAGTTTATGTGCCTTATGAAAATGGGCCTCGCTTCTACATCTTCCTGGCCTTTTTGGAAAACCTGCTGTTTTTTCTGGACTGATATTTTTCAGAATAATTTTATATGGCCAATTGATGATAGGAATTCTTTAGCAATGATTCTTTTAGTTATTAGCATTAGCAACCTGCACATAGGAACAATAAAAGTAGTCGTGGGACAATTCAGTTCCAGTCACAAATAACAGAAAACTATGAAAATTTTCTTATATTGTTCCTCAATAAAAGGGAGTTTTGAAAATTTGGGGGAGAAGGAAGAGAGAATTTTTGTGACAACCAATATTTTCATAACTAACTAATGATGCTGAGTACGTTGATTTTGGATATCTGTTGGGGACACCTTCAAAGGGAAATTCACACTGTTATGCACCCTGCCCCTTTGAAAAGTCAGATCTTCAACAGTGTGCCTGAAAATCAGCAGCGTGTTATCTAAGGTGCTGCAGATCTCTCTCAAGTCAGCTGTGGAATTGGTCACAGCTGAGGGCTGGGTTGCTACTGTCTTCAGCCCCAGTGGCTGCAGAGAGAACCAATTCCAGCTGCTCATCACTGTGCCTCAGACTTCCGACATACAGGCCAAGCTTCTTGGTTAAGCACTCCCTAACTTGCTTCCATCCAGGCTGGGATAGCAAGGACCCTGTGTTAAAATTGCTTAAACTGAGCTGGCTCATTTTCATGGAAACGTGTTGGGAAAGGATTAAACAAGCAGCTTGGTCACAGTGGTAACCTTTAGCTGGGAGCTGTGGTTGGAGATGGTGGGCTCTTCAGCCAGCACAGCTGCAGCTGGAAGAGGATGTGTGATCAAGCCTCGAGGTCAGCAAAAGAGAAAAAATGATGAATAGCTAGTTATACTGCTGTTCTACTTTCATTCAGCTTAGATAATTAGATCAAATTAACTCAGTGCTTTCTGATTCACCTGTCCCTCCCAACAGAGGGTCAAATGTATGTCTCCCTGTGGTTTCAGAGAATGTATGTGGTAGGATTCCTCAGCCAGTGCTTTCCAACAGACTGGTGACTTACCCAGGGAGAGACTGGAAAGGATGAGTACTTTTTGCTCTGCGTGTACTTTGTTTTCTGAGGATTTGGCTGAAAACAACACAAATATAGTTGTAAAAGTTAATAACAGTGGTCTGTTTAGACTCCCCTCATGGCAAATACCTAAAGAAGAGTAGAAGAACAGGGCAGAAGTATGCTGATGCTTCACCCCCCTATGCTTTGCCAGGTTCCAGTGACTGAGGACTCAGGTACCTTCTGACCCAGTGGTGGCATCGTTGTGTGATATGTTACTGAAAACAAAGAGGTTTCTTCTGCTTGTGTTCCAGCCTGACTGAAAACATTCTAGCTAGATGAAATGCTCAAAAGAATACAACAATATCAATCTCTAATATGTGCAAAGCAACTTACTCAATTATACTTTTCCAAATATTTTTCAAAATTGGGTAAATACGGGGAGGAGAGGGGTAAATATTTTCTCCATGGTTACGTGGCAGGTCATGGTCTTTGGCTTCCAATTTGATGCGCTAAATTCCCTTTTCTTTCTTTTTCTTCACAGCAGATCATGCTTGGGTGTGGCTTGGTTTTTCATTTTGTTTTGTTTTTTTAAAACAGATGGTTTGCATTACATAAGGGACAATTTACACAAGTTGACACTTCCCCTTTTTTCTCTGTGGCATATTGTGTGGTAGTAAAGTTGGCAGAGATAAAGAGAGGAACTTTCTATTAGGATTACATTTCTATTTGAGAAAAAGATTCATAATCTATGCTTTCAGTTGATTTTTAACTTCCACCCCTAGTGATACTTACATATATAAAATAGTTAATATTATTTATATTTAATATTAATATTTATATTTAATATGATTACAACCAAAGTATTTATTTCTTATGAGAAAAATAAGTTGGCAGTATGTGATGGACTGTATTGTCCACAATTAGCAAGAAAAATACTGGTCACCTACTTACTTGCTCCATGATTAGTTATCCATGCAGTGTATTTAAGTATTTTTACTTCTATGCAAACCTCTTTATATGTATTTTATTGTGCACATAATATGTATTTTTATACAGATGTATAATGCAAATCTTTTTATGAAGAGCTGATGTTTCAAAGTGGATTAACTAAGTTAGTGACCTACAGCATGAGCAGGTGTTAGGAGTTAACCCCAGTATCCCAAGTATTTAAAATGGTTTAGCAGCAGACGAGCACCTTCCATTTGAGCTGATGTTGAAAGCAAACAGAGCCCAGTTAACGCATTTCCCAAAGCTTCTCCCACATTTGGGCTCTACAGATTGGTTCAGATCATTTAACCCTTTTTTTCTTCTCAGCCAGCATTCCATAACTGCAGCTATCACTAGATCAGCTCTACTTGTGATACCTACTGGATAATAGACATGACTCCCAGCATTTTAGCAACGGCAAGTGAAATGTCAGCTCTGCTGAGGTCTGAGGAGCTGTTGCTGTTGACTTCACTGAAGTCAGATTTCACACCAGATGATACAGATCTGCTAGGGCCACTCTTAGAAATAATTAGAATTTATTTAGAGCTAATTAATATTTGTGAAGTGCTTTGAAAGCATAAAAATGGTGTAAGTGATAGAAGAGGTTTTTTATTGTGCCCTTTAAAAACTGCATAGTTCTGCCTCTGAGGAGGCTGCTCTTCAGTCGTAGGTAGTGTGATCCTTTTATTAATGCACATATGTATAGATTTGTATGTGGAATACTAAGGCATGATTGTATCTCCTGTATAACAGA